TTTCTCTGGTAGATTTGCGGCAGATGTAAGTGCAATTCTTTATTCGTGTACAAAGCGTGCTTCGATTGGTGGAATTTGATTTCTAAAATAATTTTAGACTGTTCCACTTTAATGCTTCATACATTCATGTAAATTTTAACAAAATGACGTGAAATGATTATCAAAAGATCACTTTATTTATATACTTGGTTGATTGCACCTTATAAGCCTATTGAAATAATATAGACACTTCAATTTTAACAAGATAAGGTTTCTTTATATCACCCTTAATATACTTTGGAATAGTCCACTTAACAGCGCAAGATGAAGTGTAATAATCCTGGAGCTATTAAATCATACATAGACTTAATTATTTACAATGAGATGCGGCATATTTCCTTCTGTTGCTTTCCCCTCTCAACAGTCTTCCATCTCTTACACCACTCCATAGTGTAGACCTACATGTTAGAGGAAAGAAGGATACTTGTATTGTTTAAGAAATAATAAGTCCAAATAAAATTTGTCTTTTTTCAATTCAATTCACTTTAATTCAATTTGGTTTTATTACAAATGAAAATAACTCATTTGGATATATAAAATGATAAATATAAAAAATTGCACATTAGAAAGTTATATTAAAACAGATAAGAACAATATATAAAAACATTCAAATTCAGGATTTTTTTAAAAATGAACAGTCGCTGAACTTGTCATTCGTATCTTCTAAAGACTATATGACTAAAAATGGGCCATCCAAGAACTAAAAAAAAAGCGCTCATTTTTTCGTTCTTTTTCGCATTTTCAGGTAAGCCTGAATCGTCGAGAGGGGTAACGTTATAATCATCCTATATAATGTCATTGCTGGAAAGAATCTTTACTCTGCTGGGTAGTTTGGTCTCGGAGGGGAGCTCGGGGCCTCCTTTGCTTGGGCCGATAAAGCTCAAGGGCGTTACGCAACTGACCGGAATGTCAGGTATCGGTTTTTCAGAATTTGTTTTATTGTATGAGTAGTGCATTTATTATATTAACGTTTATTTCTGTACAAAAGGGATACATTAAAGGTCGATTTGGAGGGGAAAATATCCGACTTATCGATGACACAATACACAACAAAAATAACAAATGCAGACGTTACCCTTATTTTAGATTTTCAAAAGGCTTTCAATAGTGTAAGTAGGAAATTTATGTTTTCGGCGCTAAAGAAATATAATTTCGGTAACTCTTTTATAAGTTGGGTGCAAACACATACAAATTCCGAATGCTGTGTGACAAACAATGGTTGGATGTCCGAAACATTCGTTATTCAGCGTGGAATAAGACAAGGTTGTCCCCAGCCTGTCTGCACTTCTTTTCATTATTGTAGTTGAAATAATGGCCACAAACATTCGTAATGAGGAAAATATTACAGGAATTAAACTGCCTTTAATAAATCAAAATAACAAACGTGAAGTAAAAACAGCACAATTAACGGACGATACAGCGATACTAAACACACACACACACACACACACACACTAAACAGCATTAATTGCAGCTTAAAAACAGTTGACCAATTTTGTAAAATTGCAAAACTTAAATTAAACAAACAAAAAACGAATGCAATGTGGCCTGGGATGTGGAGAAACAAGAAGGAACAACACGGAAACATAAATTGGATTGATGCGCCCTTAAAATCATTTGGGTATATAGGCCTATAGGCTATGATTAAAAAAAAACATTGTATTGAGAAAAACTGAGACGATAAAGTACTAAAGTTTGAAAAAGAACTCGAGCAATGGGGACAGAGAAATTTAAGTATGTACGCTAAAATGTGTATCCTAAATACACTAGCTTTAAGGTAACGTACTTAGCTACCATAATTGATACACCACAATATGTAATTGATAAAGTAAGAAAAAAATGTTTGATTTTTATATATATAAAAAAAAAAATAAGGAGGTTCAGTGCGGGGGAATGAAAATACCATGTCTTGAAGCAAGAATAATGTCTTTGCACATTAACTGGTTCAAACGTTTATTAAATGAAGATACAAAAGACATGTGGAAGCAAATACCGTTGTACTATCTACAACATTTGGGTACTTAAATGCAACCAACATTGATTATATAAATAATCCTTTATATACTCTAATGCCAAGATTTTATATTAATATCTTGCGTTCTTTGTGTAATTTAAATAATTCTTCTCCTTAAAACGTTAATACATATGAAAAAGTGTGTAATCAATTTATCTGGATAAATAAAAACATAGTTTTAAAAAACACATCATTACTCTTTAGATCATGGGTTAACACGTTGACTGCCAGACCTTTTTTTAACAGTTCCTTCCCGTGTGCCAAAATAGGCCTAAAGCAAAATTGGATTTCTGATTGGAAAAGAATATTGCCAGCAATACCATTGGAATGGAAACGCTTAATTCGTGATTCCAACTTTGCTGAAAGAACTTTTAACAGGGCAACTGATTCAAATTATTTCTATTGTATGAATAGCAGAGAAATTTATAATTGTAATGTTTCTAGTTATTCCGAAGAACCCTGTGGAATCCAGTCGAAATGGGAAATGATTTTTAACAACCAAAACATTATATGGAAGACAGTCTGGTTAAAGAAAAGTCAAGTTTATTTCAGAAAAAAAGCTTGCAAATTTTAATTTTAAATTATTGCATGGTATAATATCGACAAGGTCTGGACTTTGTAAATGGAAACTATCAGCCAATGATTGTTGTCTATTTTGTAATGTAAAAGACGAATATTATTTATTATGGGAGTGTATACGCCATAGCCGTCTAGAAGAAAATAAACGAAACCATTGAACCAGAGTTTGGGTACACGGTCAATTTTTATTATAGGTACAAAAAAAAATAATTTTAGATACAGACAGCACTTGTAAACAACATATATACAATTGCATGTTTTTGTTTATACAAGGCCGCTGTCCTTAAAACAGCGGGGAAATTAAAATCAATAAAGGCTTTGCTTGCATATGAAATGTATGCAAGGTCCACAATATTCAGAAAACTGTTATTCGATATATAACATATTAATATGCTGTCTGCTACCATTATTAGTGTTATTTTTGTTATTAGGTATTTTTCGCCGCCGACGTTAACATTAACTTTAACGTTAGTACCCAACATGCAACGCGATAGCTCCGCCCCTTTTGTAAACAAATCGAAATACGCATGCGCAAACCTGTAACTAACGTACGTCGAGCACGTAAAATCCTGAAATTAACGTACTCCGCAACACAAGATGAATAAATTATGACGTCATCCGTTAACGTTAAGGTCGTGCGGCGAAAACTACCTATTATTGCAGTACTGTCGGTTTAAGTGACGGTTTAGACTTATACAATATTTTATTGGATGCTACGACATGTCTAACGAATGAATAAAATTTAATCTGAAGGCTTTTGAATATCGGACGCTCAGGTGTAAAATATAAAAACCTGTTGAATTTGGAGAAATGTCTCAAATTTATTTGGTAATAATACTTAACAAAAAGTAATAAAATAATAGAATTTTACATAAAATGGGATGGTATTTTAATTTACTGTCTGTGATGATGTTTCTTCGATACGTCCTGTCTAACGAATGAACACAATGGGTGTGTGAAGGATTTGAATAGAAGAGCAATATCTTCACTTTTGCAAAAAATAAATAAATATAATAAAAATAAATAAAATGTTATAATGGATAAATCAAGGTATTATTGTATATAGGAATTATAAAATTTGATAGTATTTCAACTGACTACATATAATGAGAGTTTATTCGAGGAACGACGTATCTAATGAATGAATAGAATACAATGTTGTATAATAGTCTTGACATAGAAGAGTAATGTCTTAAATATAAAAAAAATATAAGGATAAGGCAATATATATATATATATATACTGTCTCTTATACACATCTAGATGTGTAAAAAAGTAAAAAAATAAATAGTAGGCCTTATATCTTAATTAACTGAATCGAATTGTGTATACGTTACCGAACATAAAAGCTTGATTGAAAAATGTAAAGGGAATTTATAGAAAGTGAAGTGACAATGAAGCAACTACACTACCGTAGTTTAGTTAAGTATGACCATACTATTTTCTCTATGGTATGACGCAATCTTTCCTCGAATAAACGCACCGAAGCGTTTATTGTTTTCTCGAATAAACTCCCCCTAAATGACTGTAAACAAATCTAATGGAAGCAGTGGCGAAATGATGGGGCCGGGGGGCCCTGTGGCTTTCTGAGAGTGGTGGCCTTTGAGTCTTGGTGGCCAAGTCGATTGTGGGATTTTAGATGTGCTCGTTTTTTTTAAATTATGTTTGTCATTGCATTCTAAAAGTTTTTCAACGACAAAATAAATAATATGAGTGGCTAATCCTCTAAATGGCCGGAAATGGCACTCACAGACTTAAAATTTAAAAAGTATGGGGCCCTTTTTAATTCGCCACTGGATATAATATGTCCATGTCAGAGACACATTATGCTGTTATGTATCAACAAAACCCTTTTGGGTCAGGGTGCTAGATCGAGGATCATGTGGTTAGGGACCTTTCGGGGGCCCCTACAACTCGGGGGCCTTGCGGACTACGGCACGAGGGCACGCTATAGGCGTTACGCCACTGGATGGAAGCAACATCATTCTCGACCCGTTCTGTTAATTCTACTACAGTAATGTTACTTTTTTACCTGCTTTTGATCTAGAGTCTATGAGATCAAGCAATAACACATTTTGATGGTACGTGTTTGACACACAACAACAAAAAAGCCTATTCCCTCAAATAAACGCCCCCTCAAAAACCTTTCTGAACATCCGAATAAATACGGTATCTGTGACATGTGGCTTTTTATAGCTTGTTCTATCATGCCATAGGCCTAGGCCTATTACAGTACCGTATTCTATATCAATTCTTTGGTTGTTGTATTTAGAAAAGCGCCGCCTCTAACTGGGGTCACTGGCATTGTAATAGATCATCCCAAAAATACTTACGATGGCTCATAATGTAATAACAAAGATTCCAATCCTTTTTAAAATAATTGTACCAAGTGCCAGGTACGCTGTTTACTTATTTAGAGACATAGGTCTATGACATTCCTAATGCACGTTAAACATCTTGTAGGCCCATAGAATATTCCATTTTACCTCTCTTTAAAAAAAAATCATAAATAAATATATATATTTAATTAAAAAATATATAAATATTTACATATATTAATCGCATCGTATGTCGCCAGAAGCCGTATGCAAATTGGTTAACTTTCCTACGTTATTATTGGCACACAGAAATCGTTGGGTAGGTCCTATCACGTCCGGAACACATCGTAAGAAGAGTTGTGCATAATTACGCAACAACAAAACTTTCTAATTTCAAAATTTAGTATCGTTTCAAAACACTATATGATCACTCAAAATTTTGCTATGTAACAAACGATAGCAAGAAATAAGAATATAGTAATGTAAATCTAAATAAACTGACCCGATGTACAGCACCGTATAAATACCAAATTCTTAATTCTAAAGAGCAAACACAGCAGAATATGTACAGCAGGAGCCCCTAGACACACAGCAAGAAGGGCGGTAATTACAGACCTTCTGGGATCATTTTCCCAATCTAGATTACCTTTATAGATATAAGAATCTCCATGTTCATTGAGGCCGCCGGCAGCCCAATAAATAGCGGTAAAAATAAAGTAAATCGAAGCATAAATGGAAGGATAAATAAAGTGAATAAGACGGTATGGGTTTGCAACGGCAAACACGTCAATGAGAACGAGGAGCGTATTGACGCCGTGGACATGTACTACGTAAGTATGGACAGTGTCTACCGCGGGATCGTAGACTAGCACCCAAAAGAGAAGCGTCACAGTCACAGCAGCACTGAAGGCCACCACTTGTAAGAGCCACGTCAACGAAAAGTAGAACGGTAGGGTTTGGGCCGGGGTTGTGTTGTGGTCGCTTTGCATGCCTCCTTCAACAAGTTTCATGTTGTTATCTACTTCTTTTGACCGATCTGAAGAAACAAAATGAAACTCACAGATTTAATGGTAATATACTAATATCATTTTAGTTGTGAATGTTGCAATGTACATTAAATTTGTTTTAAGAGTTTCCGTTCAGGTGATGCAACGACAAACGAAGATGTGGTAATCGTCTGAATTTTGACTTTCAAATATTGACAACAGTCAATAACATTATTACCAGTAACATTAACGCAGATGTGACCGAGACCGTTATCGCCATCGTTGCCACCATTATCCTAATCATTTATTTAATTTCATTTATTCAATATCCAGGTAAAAGCAATACAAGACAAAACATACAAACAAGATGTTCGTTACCCAAGGATTGCTAAAGGTACATGTGCTACCAAGTGACTCTCATACGCTAAACATTTTTACATAAAAACAGGCCTATACATAAAAAAAAAAACAAAAACAAAAACAAATATGAAGGATTCTAAGAGATCAGCAAATCAAAATTTGGAATTAAAATATAATGACTGTTAAAAAATTACAGTGAATCAATCATCATCATCGTCGTTGGCGCCATCGCCACCGCTACGAGCATCATTGTCGTCATCGTCATCAACCTAATCATTACCACCATCAACAATGTCATCAACGGCACCATCATCATCATCAACATGATCATCATCATCATCATCAACATGATCATCATCATCATTCTCATAATTGTCGTCGTCGTTATCATCATGCCTAATATAGTTATAATGGACTCCCAATGTTGAATGTGATCTTATGCTTTCCAATGTACGTTTGACTGTATCATGTTTTTGCTGATAATGTAAATAAAGTGTATTGAATGATTGGCTAATCTTTAGACATTGCGGGGACCCCTTTGTCAGGGAGAAAATAACACAATTCGTCGGGGAGAAAATATTGATTAAATAAGCCTTTCCAACCCCTAAATTATCATAGTTTTGAGGGCTTCGTCCCCTGGACCACTTCCGACAGATATTGAGCGACGCCAAACCACGCACTCAATCTCTCGCCGGAGAAATAGCCACCCACCCCGTCGGGAAAATCCTGGCCACACCCCCTGTCTTCAAACTCACATTTATGATAAATTATGACTGCGATAGCAGCAATGATGAAATACATCGTTAGCAACAGGTAACTCCAATTGGATATATAAATAAACCACTTCCATTTTGTATCGGCAATGCGGTAGTGAGGTTCTGTGCCCCATTCTTTCAGTACCAACACCAGCCACACTAACTGGTATAAAGCGATCAGGCATCGATAGATAATGTACGACGCAGGCTGCCAACCCCAATTAAACTGCAATTAAAGATTAATGACCAATATACATATCTCAATATATCTTATTATAAATCAAATATCATGCAAGTATTTTTCATTTACATGGCATCATAATTATGAAAGAATGGCATCCTTATATCATTATATATATCACTAAACTGGTACAGCCTATTACAATAAATGACAATATATTATTTATGTATCATTAGTATATTATATAGTAGGCCTAAATGGTACATATACACAACACACACACATGTTGGATGGGTAGGTGTTTGAGCCAACATTTTCACAGACGTCGCAGATTTACTGTATATATATTATATATAAAATAATAAGAATAATATATATATTATTTTATATATATATACATTTATATAAAATAATATATGTAAACATAGACATTGATAGGATTTAAAAAAATCATACACAGTTGACGTATTATAGGAACATAATATTATTTGGCACAAATATTTCGTCCTGTCCTCAGGATATTCTCAAAGTGAGTGAGACAATGTTAGAAAATCATGCTGAGTGAAACAATAGGTAAAAAGTTTATCATAATACTACGGTGACTAATAAGAGATCAATACTTATTGAATGTACAGACACTAGCAAAGCCTAGGTCTTTATTGAATCCGTTGATGTGTGAATTGATATATATATATATGTATATATATATATATAGGCATATACATAGGCATATATATATATATATATATATATATATATATATAGGAATAAGGTAATAAACACGAAACAGTCTTGTGTTAATGCCATAATTATGCAATATCTTAATATATTACTATTTATACATAACACTACCATTATAATTAATAATCATATTATATTTTTTATAGGCCAATTGTAATTGTTATGTATATAAAAAAACATATAGTAAAACGAATCAAATAATCATAAAATTAACG